CTTTTAATCAGAAAAAATATGTATAACGGTTAAACATTTTATTTCCCCGCAGCCCTTTTAGGATCTCGGTTTCTTTTCAGCAGCTGTCCGTGGTTCTGCATTCATGTTTTTTTCTCTGTCTGAATTAGTTTCTGTTTGTGATTTAAAGGACTGCACTTGTTTATTCTTGCAGAATGTTTGTGTGTTGGTGAAATTCTTCCTTTTAGTCCCACTTTTAATCTCCCTGTGACACGCAGGAAGTGTTTTTGGGCCAGTTTGCAGTGAGGGTTTTGCCTTGATGTTGAACAAAATCATGACAGTAGATCTAGCTCAGGGAGCAGCAATATAATTATTATTCCCAAAGCACAGGGTATTGTCATCTGTGATACATGATAGTACTCTATTCAACACCTGCCCCTTTTATGGCAAATTACACCCCATGAAATCGTCAAGAGTTCATTATTATGAATTAGGCTTCAGTGGCAGTGCAGCTCTGTTGGAAGGGATTGGTACCTCAGTCAAATTAGCTGTGACTGGCAGAGGCCAGATGGTGAGGAGGCTTTCAGAACAGGCAGTTTGTGGTAGATTTGTGGGTTTTTCATGGTTTCTGCACTGTTACACCAGCTTTGTGATTAATGAAGTTTTTTTTTAGTATTTGACTTGCAAAACACTCCCTGTGCAAACAGAACAAAGTAATTAACATCTTCGTTTGCACAGGAGCAATAAGTAAACATGATGGTAGCACAATGTGTGAAACAAAGTTATTTTTTATTTGGAGCCGTTTCACAGTTGGACATTTATTTTCTTGCTTAATGTTTGCACAGAAAATGATATGTTTTATTCCCAGACAGTAAATCACTGAGCAGACATACTGTAGATGGAGATAACATCTATTGTTTTAATCACTTTATCAGTTTGCATCTTTAATATTTTTAGATTTTGAGCATTAATTTACAGACTTTTGATTAATTTGATTCAACAACCTTTCTTAAAGATGCAAAAAACTAAATGCAAGTATTAAAACAATAAGGTCAGTTCCTTTCATTTGGCTGCAGACTAAAAAGTTTTGGGTTTGATGTGTGTATATATTATAAGACATGTTTGCTTTTTATTTCCTCATGTTTACATCTGGATCAGACACACAATAGCATTACGTGTAGCAACTGTAAATGTCAATGATAGATGTATTTTGTGTAGAAGAGCAGTAAGCATCGACTTGAATATAAAGGACCAGACTGAGCCCCACCCATCCCATCCACTGGTAGTGTCTGTGACAGACTGGAGGAGCAGAAACAGACCTACCAGTGGACGGGATGGGCGGGGCTCAGTCTGGTCATCTTTATATTCAAGTCGATGCTTACTGCTCTTCTACACAAAATACATCTATCATTGACATTTACAGTTGCTACACGTAATGCTATTGTGTGTCTGATCCAGATGTAAACATGAGGAAATAAAAGCAAACATGTTGTCTTATAATACATACACACATCAAACCCAAAACTTTTTAGTCTGCAGCCAAATGAAAGGAACTGACCTTATTGTTTTAATACTTGCATTTAGTTTTTTGCATCTTTAAGAAAGGTTGTTGAATCAAATTAACCAAAAGT